TTCGCTTCCTCCATTGCTGGGGGCAACACTCCAGCTCCATGGCCGCCGCCATCTTAGTTGAGTTAATTTGCATATTTGCACCTGATTGGCTTTGTGGGCATGGCTTGTGGGCGTGGCCTGTGGTGTGGCAGAGATATGGTCAATTTGCATGTTTCTCTTTTCTTAGATTAGATAGTTCTGGAAATCATAGCCAGAGCAACCAGGCAAGGGAAAGATGATGGTTTTTAAGAATTATAATTAAAAAGTATAAAAGCTAATGTGTATTAATATAACAAACATATTAGAGCTATAAATTATTAATATTCATAACTAATGATTGTTAATGTAATAAATACAGTAGCTAATATTTATTGAGTACCAATCTTGTATTGAGAATTATGTTAAATATATTATTTTATTTAATTAACAATAATTCTATGAGGCAGTATCATAATCCTCGTTTAACAAATGAGGAGATTATGGAACAGAGAAATTAAATTTTTTTTCAAGGTCACACTGTTGGCAAATGAGAAGCCATATCATGCCAAATGCTTTGCTTGTAACTAGATTACACTCTCTGAAACCATATGAGGATATGGACTTTGTCTTTTCATTTATTACCAGTTTTAAACATATAACATTTAACACATATTTGGTGGGGAAATTAATGAACTGGTTTCAGATGACGAAAGAGGGGTAAGGAAAACTTGTCACTTTACTCAGGGTAACAAAGTGGTGACCACTACAAGAAATGGTCTCTAATTTTGCAAATAATATTTTTACAGCTGCCACACTAAAATATATTTTGAGAATGTACTGGTAAGCAATCAAATCAATTCCTTCTATTAGATAAAAGTGTAAGCCATATAATTTCTCTAGCATTTCCTTGTTTTTCAGAAAATATCCACAAATTGGGAATTCAAGCTTTCTTTACCTTGTTTTTGGTTCGTTCAAAATCTTTTGTGTTTTTTTAGTATCAAGTTTACTACTCAAAACAAACAAACAAACAAAAAAAGGTGTTTACCTTGATTCAGCTCTACCGACCAACTCCAGTTGCCAGTCTCATGGAAGACAGAGCAGGACACAATAGACACATTGCCATCTGCCCAGTGGCACCTGCTCTGGACAGTAACTGTGCCATTGCTCCAATATTCATTTGGAGGGACACAATCTCCTGCTGGGGTCCAGGAGATCCGGGCAGCTGGCCTCCCTGCAACTGCTTTGCACACCGCACTTCTATTCTCGCTTTGAAACAGAGTCACCTCAGGGGCCACTGCAGAGATGAAGAAGAAAATGTTATAGTCCTAACACATTAGACATGGAATTTAGAGAGATGTTCCTTTAAGTATAAAATCTGGTTTTCTGAAACACCACAATGTATAATGTTCCTTACCTAACACTCGGAGTTGATATCCATGATGGAAATTCCCAGTAAGTGCTGCCACTATACACCTGTAATACCCTTCATGAGTTATGGCCACTGGGTCAATCTGAAGGACAGAATTCTGGTGAGATCTGTTGGGCCAGGTCATTCTCTTGTCAGTGCAGTTTGTTTCTGTGGTCTCATTTTTGTCTCTCCTGTAAGCTCTGATGCAGGGAGGCTTGTCTCTGAGGATTATTTCCCATACTATTATGACCACATTTGTCAACAGGACAGGAGGGCAAGAGAGCATAGCCTTTGTATCCACCAGTACAGGTAGGGAAGTATTAACTGGACACACACACACACACACACACACACACACACAGAATAAGAGAGAAAAACTTGGTAAGAAATTCACGTGTTATATTTTCCACAACATCCTATATAATGAGAGAGGGATATGCTAATTAGCCCAGATATGCTAATTAGTCACAACCAGTATGTAAATTGACCATCACTCCGACACACAAGGTGGCCGCCCCCATGTGAACACAAGATGGCTTGCAGGGGAGGGGAGTTGGGGGGGACCAGGCCAGCAAGGGAGGACAGTTTATTTTTGAGGTCTCATTTGTGTCTCTCCTGTGGGTTCTGATGCAAGGAGGCTTGTCTCTGAGGATTATTTCCCATGTTGTTAAAAGTGCATTTGTCAACAGGATAGGAGGGCAAAAGAGCACAGCCTTTGTATCCACTAGTACAGGAAGGGAAATATCAACTGGACACACACACACAGAGAATGATAAAAAAAAAAAACTTGGTAAGAACTTCATGTATTAAATTTTTGACAACATATTACATAAAGTTGTACTAGAACACTCCTTTGCTGGTGATCTTATTCCAAAAATACTAGACTTACATTAAAAATTAAACATTCACAAAATATATAACATATTAAACCTAATGCAAAGATTAACTCATTTTCTCCCACATTAGGTGTCATTAGGTAACCAGTATGTATTACATGTGTGAGAGTGTTATTAAGTAATTTGAAATTAATTCAGGCATTTCAATATCTGTGAAAAAATAACAAGGAAACACAATTCTCAACTTTAAGACAAAGACAATGAATCTTTTGGACTATTTATTTATTTTATACCTCATGCTCCTTGGGGTGGAAAATGGAATAATTAGTGATGTGGTTATGTCCTTCTAAGTTTTGATGAGAGAGAATAAATTGGTAATATCAAATCTAAATGCCTATCCCTAAGGGTGGCACTTTAGGCAAAAATAAGTATGGGATATAATGGTATTTAAAATAACTAAGATGTCATTCAGGATGAGCAAGCTGGACATTTTTTGAAGTTTTTATTTATTTATTTAGAAAATCAGAATGTCAGCAAAATCAACAGATCTTCCTTCCTTCCTTGCTTGCTTCCTTCCTTCCTGTTCAGTTACACATGCTCCCATAGCGTTCAACTGTAAACTTTTCTCAGAGATTTTGTTCCCATATAATCACTCTAATTATAAGGATTAAATATAGAAGTTGACTCCTTTTGTTCACCTTTTAAAGTAAAGATTAAGCCCTGCAACTTACAAGTATTTTCCTACATGGAAGCTCACATTTTCCCCACAAATTGACATAATGTATCCATGACCGGTAGGGGTTTGAGGAAAGGTGACTAGGTGTACCTCTTACAGCTCACCTGTAACAGAAGCCTCAGGAATTTCATCACTTCAACATGAGCTGTGGTGGGGCAAAATCTTTTTGTGAATGAAGCTTGCTTGTGCTAAAATCTGCATTTGATATATCTCCTTTCCTCTATTGGTGTCACCTGTCTCTTCTGTGATTTACTCAAGCCTTTGAATTTCACAGCAAATAAAGGTCACTTAACTAGAAGGAGGAAGAGGGAGAATTTTAAAGAAGATCTGAGAGGCAGTTAAACCCATGTTCTTTCCACCATTCCAGGTGGGATCCTCTTACAGAGGGGAACTCCAACATGGCAAAGGCTTACAGGCAGGCAAGAACATCACTGGTTGGGAACCACTAAAGTTAGATGAGGGTAAGCCACATGTGCACAAGGAGAAGATGCTGAAGATAAAGCCAGAAAGGAAAGAGACTGGTAAGCCCCAGTCAGTGTGGCAAAGCGGTTGAGCATCAACCCAAGAACCAAAAGGTCACTAGCTGGATTTTCTGTCAGAGCACATGCCATGCAGGAAGCAGCTGATCATGGTTTTCTATCTATTCCTTTCCCTTCCTCTCTCTCTAAAAATCAATAAAAGCATTAAAGAAAAGAAAAGAGACTGGTAGGGAAGCAAGTTGTGAAGGTTCCCTTACTTTCCTAAAAGTTTGGACTTTAGCTTGTAAACACTATGGGGCTTTAATGGTTTTGCCATTAAAATGTTTACCCTCAAGATCAGACTATATTATTTTTTTAAAAAAGAAAGTACTTGCTACTCATATAAACATATACATTTTAACAGGGCCACGGAATCCAAAGAAGTAACTCTCTGATAACGAATCTAATCATGGTGGATATTCTGTTCTTTCACCTTCCTCCTTTCTATAATTTTCAATCACCCTCCCTTTTTTATAGTAGTTCTTATGGAACTGCTATTATTTCACCCTTTCTTCACCATCCTTTTCCTTTTTAATGCCTATAGTGATAAGTTACAATGGCTGGTCACTACCCCACACTCAGTGGGTTTGGCAACTAACACTAAATATTTTCCATTTACTCCTGTGATCAGCTAGGAGGATTTCACCTCCTACTTCACTGAAGAGATAAAGGGTAGATTCTCATATTTTGCTCCAGAAGCATCAGTCATATCCCATCTTTTCTGGATCCTTTGTCTATATAAATATCTCCCAGTCTGATCCAGTTTTGTACACACAAACAAAATCCAATTGTCTTTGGGGCATTTCCTTTCTTTTCTCACTATCATCCCCGAGTTTAAGTCCCCATTACCATTCACCTAGATACTGCAAACACCTCCAAATTCTGTCTCTGTCTCAAACTCTCCTGTCTTCAATTCATTCCTTACATTGCAACCAGGTACATCGTAATAGCATGGATATGATTCACTCAACCTTAAGACCCTCCAGGCATCTCTCACTGCTTGAAGAAAGCATTTAAATGCCTTTGTATTGTTTTGAAATCCCTCTTTTTCAAAATGACTCACCTTTCCAATCCAGTCACTCCCTACATTGCTCCCCCACTTCAGAAAGAAAACACCTAGCACAATTGCATTTCTGTGTCTATCCTCACATGTTCCTGTGGTCTGGAATGCCCTACACAACATTCTTTGTCTATTATATAATACTCCTTACTCTAGTGTTTCTCTTCAGAGTGTATAAATATTTTAATTTTTATTATAATAATCCTCTTCCTTTAAGACCCAGTTCCTATGATACATCCCCTGTGAAGCCTTCTCTGAGCCTAGGCGCTAACAGCTCCTTCCTCTAGACTCCTGGCACACTTGATATGATAGCTGTGCTCATGTCTGTGTGATCCCATAAAACTGAGCTCCCTGGGGGTTCTCTCTTGGTCTCATCTTGCTCATCTTTGTGTTCCCTGTAGAGCCTAGAAAAGTGTCTGAT